CGCGGAGGCGTCGCCCGCGGCGGCGGCGGCGTGCAAGGCGCGGGCCCCCTCGTCGTATTGGTCGACGAGGTGGCCGTCCACCACGCCCTCGCGGCGGATCATCTCCAAATACACGTCGTCCATGACGGGAGAGTAGGGACATGGGCCTCAAAAGTGTATGAAACGACCCGCGGCCGGAGTCGGCGGGGTATCGGGACCATACATCATCAATCTCACCGGAAGCGAGTCAGTTGTGATGTGATTATGTTTATCCATGAGTTTAGGCATCAGTAGGTGCTGATCCTGCCTGTAACCCACAAACCTTTAGGGCCCTTCACAGCGCTATTTGTAACTATGATTAGCGCAAGCGATCCCTCCTATCTTCCCCACTGCATCACTGATATCAACCCCTTTCTTCCATGCTGGCTAGCCATTTCCACTCTTTTACTCGTCCCTCCCTCCATCAACCCCCCACCCGCCAATGTTCAACACATGGTAACACTTTGTGGAATTGTAGCGTCGTAGACGGCCACGTCGGTAATCCATTTGGTGTCAATCCAATAAAAAGTGATGAACACATCCGACAAAGCCGCCAGAACCTGAGCCCCGGTGTAGTCCCCATCCGCAACAAGCGGCGTTCGATACCTTGTTGTTTCCCTCCCATTCACGGGTGTGGCCATTCCCGGCAGAGAAGCGCAGTCTAACCATCCGTCTTTGCAGCTGACTTTCGCGCTGAGATATTGACCCAGACTGGCCGAGGCCAGGGAGTCCCGGACGTCCCGTGACAGATCGGGGCAGCAAATCATGGCCCAGGATAAATCCCTTCCGTCGTGCCCTGATGGAGAAACGATGTATCTGAGAGCGTAGGACACCTTGGCAAGCAGACGCATATCGTCAGCCGAGCAGAAGAGACGGCCGGCTTTACGCTGGCGCTGGAGCTCGTTGCAAAGCGACACGGCAGAGCACAATTGGTCCCCGGCTGGATGTGGGCGCACTCCCTGCGGATAGACTGCTGGCACTTCGTATGATTCGGGGAAGACGTGGTCAGATTTGATGGATTGTTCGTTGATATGCGCATACGCTTCTCCGAGGTCTGCGCAAAGCATGGAAGCCGGTGAGAAGTAGAAGCCATCTGGTTTGAGAAGGAGAAGCGAGTCCTTCATGAGCTTGAAGAGGCCCTCATCCATGTATACATTGCCGAGGTTGTGAGGATACTGGGCGGCATCGACATCCTCCTTTTCAACGAATCTGCGACGGTACTCCTCGCACTGATCCAACGATAGTCCACGGCTGTCCGCAAGCTCACTGTTGATCACGACGGACAGAAAGCCAGGGCATTTCTGAAGGACGTGGGCCGTGTTCTCGGTTGTGTTGGCCTTTTCCCGCAGCAATGACTGAAGAAATCCCGGCATCTCATGTTCGTCGGTATGTTGTCGGGCCTGGCTGGGCCAGTCACGCTTAGGGTCTCGCTGCAGGGCCTTGGGGCGGTGCTTCTTTTTCCCGAAGAGGTGTAACATAATTTCCTCGTCTGTGAGATTTTCGGACGTAAGGTCTTGGAGCAGCTGTTCCGACGCCACTGCGTGGACACTGGCGGGGTCCTCGTCGTCCTGTGGATGCTTGCCTTTGCTAATGCCACCAAGGAAAAGAATGCGGCCGTCGGAGAGACAGAAGCTGTTGATAGAGTTGCATAGGCGTGACAGGAGAAAGTGGTTCTCGCAGGGAACTTGGTCTTTTTCCCAGTAGGAGTGTAGGCCGTCCGAAATCTGATTGCGCGGCACCATTCGTCTGCGGAACTCTGCAACGCAGCCAGTTGGACTGGATCGAAACTGCAGCCAACCTAGAGGGCCAGACCACTGTATGGGCAAAGGCATGGGCGATTTGGGACTTGGCTTTTTTTCGCAGGATTGGAAGCCCAGAATGGAGCATAGTCCAACGAGGTCTTTGCCCACCCACGTCATAGGGACGACGCGGTTGACGAGTTCCGAAGCATCTTGCATCTCATAGAGACCATGGCTGGCGGGGGATATGCCAAGACCCTCCATAAAATTCACCCAGCTCGCTTTGGCTTGAACGAAGTTGGCGCCAGCTTCTTCGTCGCTTATGCCTGCCTTTTCCGGAAATCCACGGGGAAATCCAAAGCGAGGCTTCCATTCACTCTTCGCCAACGAGGAAAGGCTAATGGATGGGGCATAAACTCTTCTCCGAAGCCCGAGAAGGGTCGTGTTGGCAACCTTGGTCTCCCATGGTCCGACAGCTTCCCGGGAAAGACCCAGTCGATACAATCGATTCTGTGTAGCGAGCTGCGTCGCAGCAATATAGACGGTGATGAGGGTAACTATGGCGATAAGTGCCGAACCAACCGACGAGACGGTCTGGAGCCATGAGAAGGTGTCATGAGAGGTGTCGGGGGAGGCATTGGATGTGTCTGCCATTGTTGGTGATTAGGCGTGAAGGTGAACAGAAAATTGTTTGAAGGGTGGCCTGCTGTGAAGGCAATGAGTAAGAGAACCCGAAGGCTTGGGTACTGGGTAGGCGGCTTTTGCGGGCCACGGCAAGGAAATACGCAGGGAGGTCTGTGAACCCAGAAGGAATGGTACGAGTCTGAACCGAAATTGAACAAAGATTGAAAAGCCAGTTGTTTGGTAAATAAGAGGTAGATATGCTCCCTTATGTTTCGCCCAGCGCAAGGCGGAATTGCTGCTATCAAATGGGCTGGCCATTTCTGTTGGCCCAAGGCAGATTTAACGTCCCCAGATACGCAACTATGAATGCAGGGCTCACCACATTGTACCTGAGCTTTCCACTGGATATGTTGGGCATCAATCTCTGGACAGCTCATTCATATGACTCCTCCTCGAATATACGCAGTGAGTTTAGTTGAACGGGAGGCCTCATGGGGGGGAGAGGCTTTGATCGGCGGCTGCCTAGTTGCCTATTTTTTTTTTGCGAGGATGGAGGAACGACACGAATCCCATGTTGTTTTTTCCCCAACAAATCTTTGGCGCTGTTGCCCGGCAGGCTCCCGCATGGAGAGATAAGTTGTGAGTGGGTGAAAGCGCTGTGGTGTTGCGCCACCAAAAGGCGGAGTCAACGCCCGAGAGGGCCGAGATTGTTGCCCAAAGTGCACAAGTTTTTTCACTGCCATGCACCTGCCTTCAGTTTCACGCACGATGACGAAACGATCTCCCAATTCAGCCTATCTATGAGTCTGTCTGCCTTGGAGTCTCATCTTTGAATCGTGTTCTTGGCCTACTCTTTTGATCAGAAATGTGGCGATGGTGTATAAGTTTCTCCATCACCAGGAGGCCGCAAGCTGGGCTGTGTTACCACCAGGCTTGACTCTCCTTGATTTAAACCCTCATCCAGCCCAGTACAGGCTTTTAGTGACAAAATCCATCGATGGCAACAGCAGCACAGGCTCACGCACGCATTTCCACGCTTCCTCATTCTCTTCGTTCTCTCATGTCTCAACACTTCATCGAGATGGATCTCCTCCCTGCACCCGCCTTGGCGCTCCCTGAAGACACAACTCCTGCAGAATCGAGAGAGGCAACGCCCGGCACTGCCGTTTCCACCAAGCCAAGCAGTGTCTCCTCTTCCCCGTGTCCCGACTTGGATGAGAAGCACCCTCAAAGACAGCCTTCATCGCAACAACCCTCTGACCCTGATGTCGCGTCATTGGAGTCTGGCCAGTGTTTGATTGTTCACCAGCCAGTTGCCAAGTCCCCGGCCACAACTCCGCAAATATTGCTTTCCCAACACTCTGAAGCCACTTCAGCTGAGCTCAACTCAAATCAAGTCGGACAGGCGACAGCGAATTATCCAGAAACTCTCGAAATTCCTGACATTCCTGACATTCCTGACATCCCTGACATCCCTGGCATCCCTGGCATCCCTGACAATCCTGACAATCCTGACAGTCCTGATAGTCCTGATAGTCCTGATAGTCCTGACAGTCCTGACAGTCCTGACGCTCCGGAGACTCCTGGTACTCCTGAGCCTACATACCCTCCCTTTGACAATCCATTCCATCACACACCATCAGAGGCCGCTAAAGAATGGGAACGGAGGAAGCAAGAGCACGGAGAGGCCAGCGATGTAATTGACAAGCTCATGTGCTTGGAAGGGCTTGAGGAAGTGAAAGACCAGTTTTTGGATATCAAGTCCAAGGTTGAGCTTTGCAATGAGCAAGGCCGAAGTCTCGGTAATGAGCGATTTCACATCGCCTTTCAGGGAAATCCGGGAACGGGTGAGTACCCTCTGTTGGGATGTGCCATCGCGGATTCTGTATGCTGATACCCACGTGTGCTCTCAAAAAGGTAAAACGACGGTTGCTCGGCTATACGGCGAGTTTTTGCGCTCAATCAAAGTCGTCGGATCCAGCAAGGTCGAGGAGACATCAGGCGCCAAGCTCTGCACGCTGGGTGCGGGAGGCACCCTAAGCATGCTCGAACGCATCATCAAAAGGCACGGGGGAGGGACCCTGTTTGTGGATGAGGCATACCAGCTTACTGCGCCGTATATGGACGGCGTGGGGCGATCTGTTCTCGATGTAATCCTCACCTTCATGGAGAACAACATCGGCATGTTCTCCGTGGTCTTTGTCGGCTACAAAGACGAGATGGAATCGCTCTACGAGCACAACCAGGGCCTCTCCAGCCGCATTCCTCGCTGCATGACCTTTGCCGACTTCAGCGACGCCGAGCTCTGCAAGATACTGGTCGACAGCATCAACAAGCAGTACAATGGCAAGATGCAGGTCGAAGGCGGCATGGACGGGCTGTACATGCGTGTCGCCATCCGCCGCCTCGCCCAGGCCCGCGGCAGCCGTGGCTTTGGCAATGCCCGAGACGTCCACAACTTGCTTGCCAAGATCACGGACCGCCAAGCACGACGCATTTCCAATGAGCGGAGAGAAGGCAAGCATCCGGACCCTCTGCTGTTCACTCAGGAGGACATGATCGGTTTCATGCCGTCGCAAGCAGCTGCGGAGAGCCCGGCGTCGACAGAGTTGATGAACCTTATCGGGCTGGAATCGGTGAAAGAGAGCGTCCAGAGCATGATCCGAATGATGCAGCTGAACTACCGCCGAGAACTGAAAGAGCTGAAGCCGCTCCAATTCTCCTTGAACCAGCTCTTTGTCGGCGCACCGGGAACGGGGAAGACAACGGTAGCTAAGCTGTATGGGAGTATTCTCGCCGACATCGGAATTTTGAGCAAGGGTGATGGTGAGTAGGCTCTCTGACTGTCCGATTGACCGCTAGCCGTGTGGCTACCATGTTGCTAACCATCTTTGTGCGGTAATTAGTTGTGTTGAAGACCCCGGCGGACTTTATTGGCGAATGCCTGGGCAAGTCGGAGGCCAAGACAAGGAAGATTCTGGAGGCGACCGTTGGCAAGGTTTTGGTTATCGACGAGGCCTACATGCTCGACGCGGGTGATGCCAACAAAGACCAGGACAAGTTCAAGACCGGAGTCATCGACACCCTGGTTGCCATGGTTCAAGGCGTGCCCGGTGAGGACCGCTGCATCATTCTCGTGGGCTACGAGGACAAGATGAGCACAATGTTCCAAAACGTCAACCCCGGACTGTCGCGACGCTTCCCCATCAACAACCCCTTCCGCTTCGGAAACTTCGACCTTGCTCAGCTCCAACAAATCATGCGGAAGAAGATGATCGAGCAAGACCTCGAGGCCACGGCGGAGGCGCACGAGGCCGCTTCGGACGTCCTGGAACGGGCCCTCATGCGCCCCAACTTCACCAATGCAGGAGAGGTCAACGGCGTCCTGTCGGTCGCCAAGATGCGCTACGAGCTCAGGCAGTCGGCCCTGCCCGCCAGCGAGCAGGCCTTCGACGGCAAGCTGGAGCCCCAGGACTTCGACGCGGACTTTGACCGCGGCTGCCGCGACGGGATCGACAGCCGCCGAGAGCTCGAGGGCAGGGTGCAGGACAGCATCATCACAAAGCTCACGGGCTACCAGGCTCGCTCCCTGGGAGCGAGGAGGCAGGGCCTCAAGCCGAGGGAGCAAGTCCCGACAAACTTTGTGTTCAAGGGGTTCCCGGGCACCGGCAAGACCGTTACGGCCCAGCACATGGGGAAGATCTTCTACAACATGGGCTTCCTGGCCACGCCGGACGTCATCGAAGTCTCGGCCACGGACTTGCTGGGGCAGTATGTCGGCCAGACATGCCCCAAGACTCGGAAGGTGCTGGAGAAGGCCGTTGGCAAGGTGCTCTTCATCGACGAAGCGTATCGCCTGATCTACGGCCAGTACGCCGCCGAGGCCGTCGAGGAGATGATCCAGTTCCTCGCCAAGCCGTCGCACGCAGGCAAGATGGTTGTTATTCTCGCGGGGTACAAACAGGACATGCACACGTTGATGAAGCTCTGGCCGGTCCTCTCCGGTCTGTTTCCTGAGGAGATTGTCTTCGAGAACCTCACGCCCGAGGAGTGCATCACCCTGCTTGTCCGCGAGCTGGGCCACAACAAAGTTGTCACGAAGGGCAATTTCCTGTGCAACCCCTGCAACCAAAACTTCATTGGGGTCGAACGGCTGTTCCACGCCCTCCAAATCACGCCGGGCTGGGGCAACGCGCGCGACATCAAGTACCTGGCCAAGGAGATCCTCGGCAAGTTCCTGGAGTCTTCCGGACCCGAGCGCCAGTCGGACCGCACGGTCAGCGTGCAGCAGGTGCAGCAATGCTTCATGGAGCTCATCGTCCAAAGGAGAGATCGATGCATGGCACCGACCGCCAACGAAAACATTGCCTTCTCGTCGATGCCTCCCGTCGCGCCGACCTTTGCCGCGCCCCAGGCGGCGCCACAGCAGCCCGCGGCCGACACGTCGATACGCACCGCGGGGGCGGCCAGCACTTCGCCGAACGTCGGCAGCGCCGTCCGCCGCAGCAGCGGCACCGCGTCCAACGGCGCGCACCACCACCACCACCACCATGGCCATCAGGGCCCCCTGGGAGCGGGCGGCCCCGCAGACATCTGTGTCCGGCCCGGGGGCCGACGTGGCGCTGCGGCGGCGGCGACGCGCGAGAGCGGCGTGACCGACCCCAGCTGGACCGAGGTCCAAGCAGGGAAGACGCAGTGGCTACAGACCCAGAGGCAGCGCGAGGATGAGATCCGGAAACTCGAGCGGGGGCTGGCAGCGGCCGAGAAGGCGCTGGCGAGCGCCGGCGGGACCTCGGGGGGCGGAGGAGGCGGCACCGACGGCCTCAATGCGCAGTGCGACGGGTTCCGCGACAGGCTCAGCTCCGTGCAGAGGCTGGTGCAGAACGAGGAGAGGCTTCGGGAGAAGCTGGAGCAGATGAGCCGGTGCGTCAACGGCTACGCCTGGTATCAGGTGGCCGGAGGGTGGAGGTGTGAAGGCGGGGCGCATTTCGTGACGGATCTAGAGCTTAGAGGGCATATGGCTTGAGTTGCCTAAGCAGTGAGCTGTCAGTGATAGTCGTCGCGTTGGAAGGCTGGCTATGGTGGTCGGCTCTTACCGTTGGTGTTAGAAAACTGAGGAATACCAAGGACAGCTAGGGTGTAACGGGGTTGCTTGGAGTGTGGCTACAGGGGAAAAACAGTTCGACTGGGGCGCAACAGGGACACAGGACACATACATTCCATATTGATCAAGAGCAACGAAAGAAAAAAACAAGAACAGCAGAGGCACACGCCCATGTTCTGATGTCAAAACGCTTCCCCGCGTCCGCCGGGGACTGGACCTCGTAGCCGTTGACGACTTAGCACCTGGCCGCACGGCAGCTGGCTGTTGGTGCCTCCAGTAGATCCACAAGAGCAGGCCCGTGATGGGGACGCTGGCCGCGTACAGCAGGATGGCCATGCCGCCCAGATTTCTGCCGGTGACGGCCATGACCACGCGGCGTGGATTTTGGACTGGAGCCTCTGGGCCTTGATGTGCCCTCGGCGATGGCCGGCAGGGGCGTGCTGATGGCCTCGCCCGGGATGGCAAACGACCGCCCGGTGACGCAGCAAAAGTCGCGATCAAGGGTGTAGAGCGGCCCAAAAGAGCCACCGGCGGTCGTTCAGCTGCTTTCTCGTGAGGCCTTGGGTGACGACGGGCGCGGGGCGGCGGCGCTCGTCGTTGCAGGTTGAGCCGGACGGCCATGCTTCCGGCGAGGCCGAGCAGGTGGCCCACGGCTACCATGTTGGCAGCGAGTGAGTTGTACTGTATGAGGAGGAGCATGTTGGTCAGCAGAGCGATGCCCTCGCCTTCAAGCAGTGCCAGATGCTCGCCGGTAAGCCCGAGCGCCGTCTTGTAGTAGCCCTCGGCGCGCGAGATGGTGAAGGACGGCTCCGTCCAGCTGAGCACAAGCTCGGCCGTGGCGAAGACGGCAAATGCTTGAAACCTGGCAAGGCCGTTGTCTTGTCGTCAAGGCAGCCACAGCCGACACTCGTGCCTGCCTCCAAGGGATAGAGGTGCTTGAGGCAGGCCTCAAGGAGCTTTCTGTCCATGATGATGATAGGAGCAAAGAGCTCGCAGTGTCCGAAGTAGACATCCATCAGGCGGCTGGCCTCGTCCCTGCTGGGCAGCGGCAGCGGCACCTTGTAGGGCGGCGCATGGAGCAAGGGGCCGAGGTCCGGCGGCATGCAACCCTGAGAGACGCAGTTGTTGGACTCAGCGGGGAGCGAGCCCATCCAGGGCTGCTAGCCACCATGCCCCGAGGAGGCGGGACGAGGAAGCTCGATGATGTCGTTGATGAACTGGGTGGCCAGCAGCTCGGCGACTTCCTCAAGGCCGCCGGGGTGGGCGGGGTGGACGGCAAAGGAGGGGCCGCCACCGCCATCACCTGCGAGTTTGGCCTCGAGAAAGGCGACGCGGTCCTCCAGGCGCTTGGTGTAGTTGCTGGGAGCGGTTATTGGCTCAGCTCAATGGAGATAGAATCCGGGCACTTGACTGAAACCCAGTGGGCTGGAGCACAGTGGGGATGGCTACAGACCCAAGAATCACAGAGATCATTTTTTGCATATTGATGCTTCTTGAGTAGACCACGCATCCTGTGTGAAGTATCACGCTTGGCGATACCGGATTGGGAAAGTGGCATGTCTTGTTCTGGCTACGGCTGGTGCAGAATACCCGTGGGCGGTCCAGGTCTATCCATCGGGGTGGGCCGTGCACTCACGTGCCTGGGACCCACCTCACACACATCCGGATACAGCCACCAGACTCTTTCCCTTAGAAATAAACGGTCAAGTCCATGAAATCACTACCCGTAACTCCATCGCAATCCCGGATACATGCGTTGAAGACGTGGCTGGAGTGGGAGACAAACGGCGCCCATCCAAGGAAGCCTGCTCTCCCTCGGACATGAGAGCCGAACTAGGTACCTACTCAGATGGGTGACAACTAGGGAACCCTCGGTGTTGTAGTGATTTTTTCTGCCCCGTTCCGTCCGTCTCTTCGTTTGCTTCTTCTTCCACTTCAATCGGAAATTCTCGTTCTGAAGAATGCGCAGTCTCCGCGCCTTGGCGACGCCCGTGCAGAAGCCACAAACGGCTCGTGCGCCCCCATCCTCTGCCTCACCCCCTGGTCTGAGCGCACCCAAATGAGGTTCCATTTGACGCCATGCACCTCCTTTTGGCATGCTTCCACGCAGCAGGCCGTCAGCAAGTCGCACCTCGTCATCCGTTGGTTGATATCTATCTGCCCGCCTTGTGATACGTCCTGTCTGCAGAGAGCCGTCTGGTGGCATGCCCAACCACCCAGCCGCGCCATAACGAGCTCACCGAGGTCAGAGCTCCCTTCTCTGTAGCGCCAGGATCGGGGCACGAGCGCAGCTTGACCGAGACAGCACATAGCACATGCACGACCACGCACACTCTCCAGAGGCGGTAAGACAGAGAAAAAGAACTAGCAGCCGCTATCTGGGCTTGGGCTGTGCCTCCTCTCCTGTTATCACAACAGGCCTGGGGCCAGGAAGCTCCTCCTAAGCTACCACGTCTCTGCTTTGACATTGGCACACTCGTTCGTTCGTTTCTTGTGGCTTAAAATAGGGGGGACGACGTGCCTGAGCGGGAGCTTTATCGACCTAGGCTCAGCTTCGTCGGCAAGGCCCCTGCTGAGCAGGACACCAAAAAAAAAAAAGTCGCTAGCGACGCAGGCCACGACGCAATTCCGTGCCATGGCGTGCTCCAGCCCTGGACCGTCCCCCCGCTAGGCACCGACTCGACGGCGTTGGGGCCGCTGTACTAGCCGGGATACCCCTGTCGCTCGCTTTTTCCCTCTCTCGCTTCTCAGCCTGATCCGGGGTATCCCATCCTCACCTCTGTTTGCTGCTTGCTCTTGTTTCCACTGTGTTACCGTGCGTTTCTTTTGGTCCTCTGCCTGTCGGCGTCTAGCTCCTACCCCTGCTCGGGATTTGGTCCGTGTACCTTGGAGGCTAGTCATGGGTTGGGATGGTCCTCGCGGTGGTGGACTCGCCCGCCCTCGGCTAGAACGATGGTCCAACACCGCGTGTAATATTCACCTCGTTTTCCTTCTAGTCGTGCCCGGGTACTCGCTCACGGGGGATGCCAAGAACAAACGGACGAAATTCTCGAGAAGCCCCAAGCGGAAACGTGGTGATCGGTTGATCGGCTTCGCCAGAATCTCCCATACCCCTTCAGCTTACACCCCATCCACGAGCATATACCCAGCGCAAAACTCTCCAGCCATACCGTAAGCTGGCACGATCGGAGGATCGGGTTATGATAGCGCAGGCCACAGATACGCTCCTGCGCCCGGAACAGCGCGCTGCTGCTGCTGCTGCTGCTGCGATGCCGATCAACGACGGCCACGGACGATAGCGACCGCATGCCAAACTGACAATTCCAGGCCCGAGCGAGCGAGCGAGCGAGGGGGGCGTGAGCGGTAGGGAGGTGGGAGGCGTTTGTGTCTGACCACTACGTAATTCCGCGCAGTGCCGAAGCGATTAGTGCGTCGAGGAAGACGGAACGCCCGAGGGGAAAAAAAAGAAGGATCTAAAGCAAGATTCCCAGTTTCAGATCCTTCCCGTTCTAAAGCTGCTTTTCCCGAGGGAGAGACGTACGACAAACGACAGGGGCGCGGGGACGAGACAGAGGAAGAGAAGACGAAGGAAGCAGCAAACGAAGCGTCAACATGGACAGCAGCCTAGAACCAGGGATCCGAATCCAGCGGTCCGTCTCTGTCACGTCAGGGCCTACCCAAAGGGGCACATCCTCCTCCTCCCACCGCCACCACCTTCACAGCGGCGGCCGAGCCCGCGCCACCTCGTCAGCCTCCATGTCGGACACCGTGTTCGAGAGCATAGTTGGGGGCGGCGGCGGCAGCGTCAAGAGGCGCAGGCACCGCTCGCTGCCCCACGGCACGCCGCTGCAGACCATCGCGGACGACGGCGGCGGCTGCGACAAGGACGCGGCCACGGTGACCACGGCAGTGGCGGCGCCGGCGCGGCGAGCGGGGTCGGTTGTGCTTCCGTCGCCCAGGAGCTCGGTGCTCCCGGGGCCCAAGGGCCACGAGGCAAGGATGCGCATGATCGTCAAACAGCAGCGCGAGGTCCAGGAGATCCGTGAGCTCGCCGAGTTTTTGCGGAACAGGACGCCACCGCCAGAGAACGTGCGTTTCCTCCTTCCACCACCCCTGTCCCCCGAAAGAAGAATGGAGGGGGAAAAATGTTGAGGGGGTGATGTTGGTGAAACGAAAGAGAAAAAGCGTAACGTCGCAATATCAAAACACAACTAACATGGGAATCACCCACCACCACCTCCTCCTCCGGCAGTTCATGTCTCGGCCCGACGACGCAATGTCAAGCAGGTCCGCATCGCCCGAGCCGCCCAAGAGCCGGTCGCAGCTGGCGCGGCGGTGGTGCGCCCTCAAGTCCGTCTTCGCCCTGCGGCGGCGCAAGGCGCACAAGGACGAGCAGAAGCGACGGGCGCGGCGCGCCTCGGCCGACCTGGCCCCTACCGCCGTCGCCACCACCGCCATCGCCCACCCGCTCCCGAGGAGGCCCAAGACGGCACAGTTCAAGCTTCCCGACTCGGCCGTCGCGGGCACCACCATCGCGGGCCACCGCCACATCGCCATTTCCATCCCCGTCCAGCACTCGCACCTGGGGCCCGAGCCCAAGTCGCAGTACCCCATCTATGCGCCGGGCGAGGACCGCGCCGGCGGCGGCCTGTTCCTGTCGCCGCTACACGCCCCCGCTGCCGCCGCCGAGCTCGACGCGGCGCAGCAGGACGGCGGCACCCCGTGGCTGACGGCGCTCGGGCCCGTGTCCGAGGGGCACGAGTCGGGCGACGACGCGGCGTCGCGCAGCCCGCTGTCGAGCCCGGGCTACCACACCCCCATAGGCATGTCGGCGGCGACCATCACGGCGACCCCGCCCGCGCGGGTCGTCATGGTGCGCAACTCGACCCCGCCCTCCGATCTGCGCGGCGGCCAAGCGGCGCCGACGACGGCCGCCTCGGAGGCGCGGCAGCACCCGACCGAGCAGCAGCAGCAGCGTGGGAAGGCGGCGGCTCTGGAGGCTCCAGCCCCGCCCGGAAGCCCACAGAGCGACTCCTACTTTACAGCTCCCAACAGCCTGAGCTCGGCGCCCGCGTCGCCTTTCGACATGGGCACCTTTGGGCCCGGTAGGACCGGCGTCCGCTCCACACTAGGCGATAGGAGCGTCTCGATCGACAGGCTGCTCCACGGCGACGGCTCCGACGAGGAGGTGCACGAGGATGAGGACGCCGCCGCCGCTGCCTCGGACCCGCAGAAGCGCTCCAACACCAACCGCAAAGGCGAGGCGGGTCACCACCGACGGCGCTCGTCCATGGCCTCGCGCCAGTCCATCGCCGACAGCATCCTCACGGACGGGACCGAGCCCGTCATCATGACCGACATCCAGACAGTCCGCCGCATCTCGAGCAGCCCTTCCGTCGTGCACCAGCGCCTGTCCGCGGCGGCCCCGCGCCACAGCCTCCCGCCGGGGCTGGCGATCCCGCCCCTGCGCGGGAGCGAGTACGGCGGCGGCGACGTGCCCGTGACCGCGATCCGCCTGCTGCCGTCCCCCGTGTCCAGCAGCGGGAGCGACGATAGCGGCCAACATAAGCTGCGGCGCATGTCGCGGGACATACGGAACTCGCCGCCGCTAGGTGACGACGGGGTGCCGGGGACGCCAGCGTCACAGAGGACCATCAGGCCGCAGAGGCAAGCAGAGGACGAACTCTACGTGGATGCGCCTCAGGGGTTGGACAGGAGCCCGCTGACCCCGTTCCCGATAGAGACCGGGTTTGTTGAACAGGCCGAGGGAGGGTCGGGTGAGGGCGGGGACGGCGCCGCCTTCTTCGCCTCGTCCTCGGGCGCCCGCGTGGGCCTGAACCTGGTCATGACCGTCAGCGCGACTGAGGCCACGACGCCGCCGGGCAGCCGGGGGTCGCTGGCGGCGTCCGGCGTGGGCTCGTCGCGGCATTCGAGCGTAATCGTCACCAAGAGGCTGCCCGAGTTTCAGCTGCAACCGGCGCCGACGCGGCTCGCGCGAGGCAACGGCGAGTCGGGCACGGCGACGCCTGGTCTGACCCAGTCTCCGGCCTCGCCGGCGCGCCGGACCAAATCCCTTAACCTGGCCGCCAGACACCTCGTAGTCGGCGGCGGCCCTCCGTCGGCCGTCCAGCAGCGGCACCTGCTCGCGCCGACCTGGCCCGCGGGCGACCAGCCGCTCCCGCCCACGCCATCGAGCGGGCCCACGCCGCCAGACTCGCCCAAGCCGTCCAAGGCGGCTGCTGTCGCAACGGAAGCTCCCCCAGCCGAGGAGCCGGCGGCAGCTGTGCCGCTGTCCGTAAATCACTCTCAACGGCGGTCCAGCGCCCCTGTGTCAGAAGCGGTCAAGTCGACTCAAGGCTCTGCTCGGAAAGTCTCGGCGCAGCAGCAGCAGCAGCAGCAAGAATCACCGCAGAGCGCACGCAAGGAGCAGGGACAACATACCGAGAAGCCCGAACAGCCAATGGACCGCATCTCACTGTCGCGCCGCATCGAGCGCCGCAAGAAGATCGCGGCGGCCGCAGCCGGCGCCCGCCAGGCCGAGGTGTTTGCCGCCGTGGCCGCGACGACGCAGGCGCAGCAGAAGCAGGCCGAGGAGAAACAGAAGCAGCAGGCACAGCAGGAGGACGAGCACGAGCACGATGGGGGCGCCAACCACTTCTACCACCACCACTGCCACCACGCCGCGCCGCGGGAAGGCAGCCTGAACCGGCAGCGGCAAGCCAGCATCCCCCGGTCGGCCTCGCTCTACTCGGCGTCTTCCTACGGCCGTCACCACCAGCAGGAGCACCACCACCACCACCGAAACCCCACGTCGGCGTCCGCGGCGGCGGCGGCGACACTCCTGACGCCGGGGGAGCGACGGGTCGAGGAGATGGAAAGGCGGGTGCGACTGCTGGAACAGACGGGCGAGGCGTGGCTCGGGGCGCTGGTGCCGCTGATCGAAAGCCTGGGCCGCACGCTCGAGGCGCAGCGCGCGAACCAGCAGATCGAGGACTACCGCCGACGCCGCCGCATGAGCAGCAACAGCAGCGTCGGGGAGTGGAGGCAGCCGCCACCGCCAGCCCCGGACGCCGCACCGTACGGGTCGCAGAGGGAGCGTCGGCGGCAGGCGAGCAGGTCCGAGAGGCCAAAGACCAGCGGCGGCTTCGAGAGCTACAGCCGGGGCAGCAGCAGGTCCGTTCGGCAGCCCGCCGACGAGGCCGACGGTGAGTTCGCCGTCCGCGACAGGGCGGCCTCGCTCCACCACCCCAAACCGCCGATATCGAGCTACTTTGGCCTGCCGCCGTCCCCAGCCGAGCGCGAGCACATGGACGCCGCGGCGGTGCGGGCGCGGAGGCGCAGCACGACGAGCACCAGCAGCAAGCGGACGGCGGTGCTCGTCGGCGACTTCGAGGACGAGGTCTCGCGGCGCCTGGGGCTCGAAGACGACGCCCAGCAGCAGCAGCAGCAGCAGCAGCAGAGCCAGCGCCCGCGGTCGCACCACGGGTGGTCGCGCCAGTCGAGCCAGGGACCACTACCGCGCGGCAGCAGCGCCGCCGCCGCGCTGGACGAGGCGAAGCGCACGTCGCCGAGCGTGCGGTCGCGCCGGCCGCAGCAACAGCGGCCCGAGACGTCGCACAGCAGCCAGCGGCCCAAGACGGCGTACGGCCACCGCAGGGAGCTGTCTGGCGCTTCCGCCTTCTCGGCCGCCTCGTCTTCGCGCCTTGAGCACCACAGCAGCGGCGGCGGCGACGGCGGCGGCGGCGGTAGCAGCAGCAGGACGCGTGAGCGGTACGACGAGGCGGGCATCGACGGGCTCCACGCCTTGGCGCCGCTCATGAACGAGCTCACGGGTCACGGCGTCAGCCTGGAGTTTTACCCCAAGGAGCCGGTGCGGTTTGAGGACGAGTATGAGGGAGACATCTCTCCATACTAGATGGTAATGGTAATGCGACGAGACGGTTTAGACGGAGAGGATCGGGGCTTTGCTTTTGTTGTTCTTTGGTATACAAAAATTCACGCTTGGAAGGAACACCCGCGACGCGTCGATGCAGCAATTTTCTTTATCACTGATGGGCATCACGTAAGCAAGCCAATATCGATTTTGGAAATGATAAAAAGAGATCGTAAATACCGCGCAATTTACCCAATTTCTCGTTTGTTACCCCTCAATATCCTGCCTCGAGCACCTTGAATCCTCACTTCACTTTTTGGTCTTGCTCTTCCGCGACTTCTTCTTCCTTGTCTCCGGCGGCGGCTCGTCGTCCTCCGAAGACTCCTTTTCGGAACCGTCTTCTAAGCCGGACCCCGATTCATCGTCCGTTGACCCGTTGGAGCCTCCGGATCCGGAATCTTCGTCGTCCGAGTCGTCTTCACTATCCTCAGACTCTTCCTCAGATGAGCACTCCTCGCTCTTCTTCTTCGACCTCGACTTGGCTTTGGAGGCCCCAGACTTGCCCTTGCCCTGATCTTTTCCCTTGGACGAGCTGCTCTTCCCCTTGCTCGACGACCCGTGCCTCCGTGACGTCGAGCCCGCCTTCTTCTCAGACTTCTTCCCTTTCTTGTCCATCGGCCAGCTCATAGTCCGGCCTCCGATGCCGTCGTCTCGCACCTCGTCCTCCAGCGCCCTGGAGTGATCCGATCGGCGCACGCCGATGAGGTACTTGTTGAACTCGTCGCTCGCCTTCCAGACCTTTTCGAAGTGCTCCGTTTGTATCCGAGGTCCGAGGTCCTGCCCCTCCCCCTCGGTCTCATCAAAGGCGGCGAGCGCCACGGCGGTCTGGAACGCGTTCCTGATCTGCCGCCCGTTCCATCTGTGCTCGTCCTCTCCTTTTCTCCAGTGTCGGCGAGCAAACTTCATGATCTCTTCTCTATCGAAATCGACTTTGAGCTCGCCCTCGCCCTCGTTGCGCGTCTGGAGAAGATCCAAGTTCATCTCCCACACCTTCAGCGTCTGCTTCTTGTCCAATGGCGGGTAGTAGAGCGCGCAGTGGATGCGAGATCGAACGGCCTCATCGAATGACCCAACGCGGTTTGTCGTGAGAATCAGGATTCCGCTGTAGTACTCGAGTACTCGCAAGAAGACTGTTTGGCACCATGTCAATCTTCTTGGGAGATCATTTTGGAAGGGGGAGCGGCGAGTTATGGCGAAGCCAGGAGTTCACGTACCAGACACCAGAGAGTTCTGCCTGATGTCGCCCTTCTGGCGTGAGCTGAGAAACACGTCGGCCTCGTCCAGCAGTAGCACGCACGACCACCTCCTCGCGAGCTCGAAGAATTTCTCCAGGTTCTTCTCCACTTCCTGCGCCGAGCTGCTCCCGAGGTCGCCGCATGTGATGGGGAAAAGGGGTCTGTTGGCGTTGGCGGCGACGCACTCTGCCGTCGAAGTCTTCCCAACGCCCGGTGCACCGTGAAGGAGCATTATCAGTGCCTTCCCTTTACCCCTTACCACATCAAACTGTCTAGTCTTTGGCTGTAACAGCTTGCCGTTGCTGTCTTTGCCTCCTTCAAGTTTTCCAGCGACGCGGGCATGTGTTTTGACCAGTGCGCGCACAATGTTCTTGTGGCCATCAGGAAGAACGAGCCTTTCGAATCCATCCTTCAGTCCTTCTTTGGCTTGTGGTACATCTTCTATCAAGTCAACGTGTAGAAGGACTAGATGGGGCTATATGTCAGCATCTGTCGTTTTGTTTTCACTTCCACAGCGAGTGTTGGAAAGATCGGTGACACCCGCTGGTTCATGTTGGCAGAGAGAGAGAGAGAGAGAGAGAGAGAGAGAGAGACTGGACTAGGGTACTGACGCCACTTGCGCTGAAGGAGCACATATCCCCAGATTCCGCAAGGGAGGATGTTGATGATATCTCTGGCGGGGAGTGCCCGGCCCTTCGCGGTTGTAGGCATGCTGATGTACGAGTACCAGTCAACCCTCATCGCCCCGTCGTCATCGAACGGTTCTCCGAACTCGTTCTCTGTCCCTTCCTCAACAACCCAACTGGCCGAGCTGTAACGTTCAGCAGGGAGGAGTGGGTCTTGTGCATTTCGGTACGCGGATTTGACATCGACTATCACATCGCTGTCAACCTTCGCAAGGTTAGCATCTGAAAATGAAAGGCAGAAGCAACACTTGGGCTCTTTACAAACCTCTTCCTCTTCTGCGTCTGGTCCACCTTGGGTGAAACTACTCCGGATAGTCAGCCCACGGTACCGTCGGTGGTTGACTCCGCAGAGCTGGGTGTATTTTCTCCCGCGCTCAGCCAGGCGGTTCTCCAGTTCGGCTGAGCAGTATGACAGGGGCACCGTTCTAAGACTATGACCTTGCCAATCATCCACCGCGGCCACCAATCTGCGCCCATCATACGGGGGTTCCCAAAGGACATGCTTGATGCACCGAGCCAGCTCTCCGTCGAACTCGTATCGGTGACAGATAAGGCGCAAGTCCCTTATTTTCCAGGACTTGACGACCTCCCCTGCCGCGTTGTCCTTGGTGCCGACGAAAGTTCTTATTCCGCCTGTAACCTGAGCCACACGATACGCTTGATAGCTTTTGGTCTCCTCCATGTACCGCACAACTTCCATGCCTGGTCGGTAAAGGTAACCTGTTGGTCGCCAGGCGGCGATATCAGCCATCTCGTCCCAAATGCGTCTTGCTAAAATCCCGCCTTGCTTTCGGAACGACCTAAGGATGATGGCTTGGGATTTTCTGTAATAGGCTCTTACCAAGGTAGAGAAATGGGAGCTTGAGGCTGGCGACCGGACCCTCTTGCAGTTGCCGGTAGGTGTCGACAAGATCTTTGAGATCATGATCTAGCAGGTAGACCAGAGAACGCAGCCCCTCTAGCCTAGCCCGCATATCTGCGAAGTCGCTATCCGTATATTTAGGAGGACACAAAGAAGGTAGTTTGGTTTTTTTGTGCTTCATTCCCCGAACGGGTATTGTGAACTTCGGCGCCAGCAGGACTGGGATTCTGTCCATGATTGCCGCGTATTCCGGCTGAAGCCTTCGGAACGCGGCAAAGTGCCATTCCTTTTCTTCCAAGCACGATCGGATTTCCTTTTCGTGGGGAATGATGGACCGGAATGGTGCTGTGTGATTGAAATTGAAGTCTCCGAACCCCTTTTTGTAGCCGATGTCGCGCAACGTCGAAAATAGAGGGAAGTTATTGATTCGAAGTCGGATGGGCAGGAAAGATTCCATGTCGGCGTCGCGACTCTCAGAGTCATCGGCATCGTCTGTGATCTTGGACTTGCCATTTTCGGAGCCACCAGCGCCGTCCACGATCTTGTTGGTGCCATCTAAACATGCATCCGGATCCTCCTCGGCAGCCTTGTTGGGATCTCGGCAGGAGGGGCTCTCTGTAGCCAACGGACCACTGGGCAGAGCTTCTGAGGTCGTGACAATTATATGGAAGTCTACCGAATGCCTTAGGACGTCGAGGGAGCTCACGTCATTCACATAGAGAATGCCAGCAGCCGTTTTTTGGGGGGTGTTTTTCATGACCCAATGCTCATCTTCTGCTGCGACCTCCGACTCTGATGAAGTATCACTGTCGTTGTTCTCCGCCGCTTCTTCACCTAGGTTATCACTGTCGCCTCCTTTTTTCTCGCCAGGCTTTGGAGGTGATTCGGGGTCATGTGGCAGCTCTAGGGGCACTATCGGTAGGCTCATCGCGGTCTGTGTCGAAAGAGACCTTTGTTGCCCGTGTGGCCCTTGTTCCCGTTCTGTGGCCGAAGCTGTGGCATCTAGCTCTACTAGCTGTCTCGAGTCATCCCAAGGGGCTGCTGTTGTTGGCTTGTTCGGGGCCGCTGGGTGCTCTTCGGCCACGGGGTATTGCGAGGCCATCTCGCCGACGATTCTCAACGAAGAAGAACATGAAGGTCTCGGGCCCAGGAACGCGGGGAGGGGAGATGCTTTGAACATTTGTTGGGGATCTTGGACGCATGGAGACAGCCTTTCCTGATGCTAGCCCCTCTTTCGTCGCCTGTTTTGGTATTAGCTTGTATCCACCGGTCGATTGGTCCCTCGCTGCAGCAAACAGGATTGCACTTGCGTTACACATCCATAACAAACGCTACTCCTATTGGACAGGCCGGCTGCCGAAGGGGGGGATGATGAGGGGCTGCGCCATTTTGGTCCAGGGAGGTAAGACTGGCAAGCTAGAGGCAAGGCTCGCAAGGATGCCACAATAAGGGCTGCCTGCGGGCGTTCTGGTGCAGGTGACCCCGCGTCTCTTGTCTTGCGACCTTCGATTGCCATTGACGCGGACAGTCCGCCCACTCTCTGTAGCAAGCTTTAGTCTAGTACCTACCCTGCTGAGCCCATGGCTTCCTCGTCACTCTATCCAACGGCGCAGGGAGATCTAGCCTCATTGCTCAACGAAGGGGAGCGGGCAAAAGAATATTCCGTCTACCTAGCCCACAGATACGTCAACAGTCCACAGACGGACCTGAACCAGATCATCCCCAGATCCGTGAAGGAGCCTCAATCGGAGCCTGCTGCCATCTCCAACGAAGCCGGGTCGCAAGATGCGGTCGGCGACACGACAGCATTACAGTCGCAGTTGGACGGAGGAAATGGAATGGTTCTGTAGGTCACTTCTGCTAAATATTCACATGTGTGCTTTGTCTGTCCTGCCTACCCCATTGTGGGCGGCATGTTGGCTATTATGGCCGGTCAGGTGGTTGGCCGGTTGCGACGAGCCAGGCATTTTAAGTGGCAACGGCTACTTTTTCTGCCTCGGTAGTTCTGCCATCTCCATTGTTGGTCGTGAGTTGGGTGGACATGGTTCAGTCACATTCTACAATGGCTAATGCTTTCTCCTGATTTATAAAGAGCCCCCCATGCATCCGAGCGGCAAGATGTACAGGAAGAGGAGGAGAGGTTCAAAGCCTTCTTGAAGGACTACGAGCGAGGCGCCAAGGAAAAGTACAAGACCGGCATCGATCCTCACGGCAAGCATACCATCCAAGAGCTTTTGGACGTTGTCGAAAGCGCCGTCGACAAGTACCAGAACGCAGACACAAAGGGTCTGTGGGGAAAGGTGCGGCTCGCGTTCAGAAAGCTTGGAGGCAGCGGCGATGTGATTACTGGCTGGCTAGGACTACTACCATCCGAGACCGAGTATCTTTCCGTCATCTGTGGCGGCCTAAAGTTGATCATCAAAGTGAGTAGCTGTAGACCCCCTTTCATAGCCCCGATCTTTCTTCAGGTGCAGAACGCTTACCAAGAACCAGGCAGCGAGTCAAATGAAGAGTGTCGCCGATAAGATTCTTGAGGCACTCTGCGATCTCCCTGCTCTCCTAAGCAGCACGAAACGAGTACTACAGTGTTTCCCAGAACTGCGAGCACACAGCGACGCCCTCTACAAGTCGACCCTTGCCGCCCTAGGGCATATGCTTGCGTACCTCGGTCGCAAATCCGGTCTCAAAAGGGTTTTCAAGGCTTTCTTTCAACAAACCAGCTTCGAGGAGGGCCTAGTGATGAAGATCGGCGACATAAGAAAACAGCGGGACGCCTTCAACAACGAGGCCGACACCTGCCAGAAGGAGATGGCGAAGCGGGTGGAAGAAGCGACAGTCGCCGCCATGAAGAGCGGCGACCAGATCTCACAAGGGGTACAGGCGATGAAGGGGACGATGGAAGTTTGCCTGCGCGAGCAACAGCGGGTCACGCAGCAAAATGATGCTATCATACTGGCCGGCAGGGAGATGCTTCGGCGACAGGACAGTATGGGGCGGCGCCAGGATGATATGCAACGGTGCCAAGACGAAATGCAGCGCGAGCTTGGAATCAGCAGGGCTCTCCAGCAAGAGATCTTAGCTCTCCTCCGAGCTAACCCGCAGGCGATCAAGATGGGGGTAGAAGCACGTAAGCTCTGTGCCCCTGTGCTTGTGGCTAGATGAGGGCCATGCCCAAGCTGACAAGCGCTGCAAAGAAAAACCACTAGAAAGTTGCCAACAGTCGCTCGAGGCGAACCCGGAAAAGCAGAAAGCAGGCCCTTCATCTGAATTGGCCGACGCACATCGTCTCAGTGAGCAACTCTCGGTCTCTGGTACAACCCAAGGTATCCCTTTGCTAACATGCTCGAACCCCTACTTCCAGTCAAGGAGGCAAAAAAGAGGCGGAACTGGCTGCTGAGAAGGCTCGAATACGACGAGGATGCCCCCAGAAAGGACCTCGCGACGAACCTAGGACTGGTCGCCCGCATACCGACGGACGAGCAGGACCGCTGCTTGTACATCATCAACGCCGAGAAGCTGGCCAAGTGGATCAGATCCGACGTGTCGACGGCACTCGTCGTCCACGGCAGATCAAACCACACAGAGCACCGGCGGGCCGGCGCCTCCTTCGTCAGCGCGCGGCTGATCTGGTCCATCGGACAGCTGCGGGCGCCCAACCTGATGCCGCTCCACTTCTTCTGCGCGCAGCACGAGCGTGATGGGCGGCCCGCGGATATCGTCAACAGCCTGCTGGCCCAGCTGCTCGAGCGCTGCGGCGAGGCCGTCGACGTCGCCGAGGCGAAGGACCTAGGCAAGTTCCGCAGCGACAAGCTCGGGGCCGTGTGGAAGCGGTTCGAGACTGTGCTGGACCTGCTACCGCCAGAGGCGACCGTCTTTTGCGTGATCGATTCGATATCAGCCTTCGTGATGAAATCAAGTACGGCCGAGGACGCTGAGGACCTAATCGAGAAGCTGCTCGATCTCGCTCAGGAAAGGCCCAAAAACAAGTGCGTCTTCAAGGTGCTGTTGACTGCTCACAAGCGGCTGGACTCGCCGAGCTTGAAGGACGCAGACGTCGAGCAGATCTCGGTGCCAGTATCCCTTCCCCGGACGGGAGGCCTCACCATGCAAAAGCTGAAGTTTGGGCTGGAAAAGAAGGTCGAGGAGCTGGAGAGTAGCCCTGAGGATGAATGATTCTGCTGATTCAGCACGTGCCATCCAGTGTAATTTTATCATTTTGGCGTTGGAATTTAGCATAGATTCGCTGAACGATGTCGCTGTCCCACCATTCAAAATATCTGATCGCCGCGAATCTGTGTATGACGTTGCCATGCCTCTACATCTGCACTAGATCCGACGACGTCCATAGAAACCGGGCTAAACCTCGTGATATAAGAAGATAGATCGGTTCCCAACACAACCCCCCGGCCATGTAAAAGGCAAGGCCCATCACATCACCAGACAGAGGGGCCAAATCCAACGCCCAAACCACCATGTCCAAGCCCTGGGCCCTCGTCGTCCCCTCGTCCAGGGGCATCGGGCACCACCTGACGCGCCGCCTGCTCCAGCGCACCACCGTCCCCGTCCTCGCCACCTGCCGCCGGGACCCCGAGGGCACCAAGGCCGCCCTCCTCCGCGACCTCGCCCCGTCGCCTCTACTACCCGACGGCGGCACCGCACCCCTGGCCGACCGCCTGCACGTGGCCGTTGTGGACGTGACGGACGAAGGCAGCATCCGCGCCGCGGCCTCGTACGCCGCCGCCGCCCTCTTCCCGCGCGAGACGCACCACCTGCGCCTGGCCTTTGCGCTTCCCGGAGTGCTGCACGTCGACAAGTCGACGTCGGCCGTCGACGCGGCCGCGACGCTCGAGTCGTTCCGCGTCAACGCCATCGGCCCCCTGCTGCTCATGAAGCACTTTGTGCCCCTGCTGCCGCGCGGCGCCTCCTCCTCCTTCTCCTCCTCGCCGTCCGCCGCCGCCGTCGCCTCGCCGGCGCTGGGCTTGCTACCGCGCGTCCCCCCGTCGTCCGCCGCCGCGGCCTTGCCAGAGCCGAGGCCGCTGCCGCTGCACGCCGTCTGGGTCAACATGACGGCGCGCGTCGGGTCCGTCAGCGACAACCAGCAGGGCGGGTGGTACACGTACCGCGCGACAAAGTCGGCCGTCAACAGCCTGACGCGCACCCTCGACTGGGAGCTGCGCGCCCGCACCGCGGCCGGCAGCGGCGGCGGCGGCATGCCCGCCTTCGCCGTGGGCTACCACCCGGGCACCGTCAGGACCGACTTCTCGAGGGAGTTCTGGGAGGCGTCCGAGAAGCGCGGCCAGCTGCTGGAGCCCGAGTTCGCGGCCGACAAGATGCTTGATGTCGTGTGGGGGCTCGAGATGGGCAAGCATAGGGGCAGACTGTGGGACTGGAAAGGGAAAGAGATAAAACCTTGATCGGTCTCCAAAAGGGTGAGAGCACAAAGGGAACGGCTTGGATAGCAAAATGTGCACCTATGTTGTGTAAAATTAAGCCTGTTGTACATGCCGTCCGCTGCGCCAAACAGCCCGCTCGCAATTCGAGAGAAGAAAAAATGCGGCTCTCTGCAATTCTATGTCGGGACACTCCCGCCGTCAAACAAATAATCACACCCCTTCCAAGGTAGGTCAGTCATTATAAGGCAACGTCCTGAAAGGACGCTCCGTCCCCAGGGGTTGTGGCTTTCGAGTCTTCTGGGCCGCCACCGGCGTCCTCGTCAAACGGCCTCGTTGGTGCCAGCGCGGTCGGGCGGAACGGTATGTCCTTTTCCTCGGCCCGGGACTTCTGTTCCTCCTGCGCGGAGGTCTTCTCGGTCTCCTTCTCACTCTCATCGTCGTCGCTGTCTTCCGACGACACGGACTCCTGATCTCCCATCTCCTTCTTTTGTGCGGCGACCTCGTCCTCACCCCCCTGCGAGCCGATCTGCTGGTATTTGTTCTCCTCGCCGCTGTCCCCGGCACCGGATGTGGCAACTACTGCTGCTGCTGCGGCCCCCGCTCCGGCAGCCCCCGCTCCAGCTCCAGCCGGCGGCTGTGGCAGCTCCTTCTGGGTAACGGGCGACGGCGCCTCGGACGTCGCTAGGGTGCCGGGTACGGGCCGCATGGCGTCGAGGTAGAACTTTGTAACGCCCAAGATGCGGCCGTTCTTCTCGCAGGCCTCGACCCACTCCGGGCGGACGACCGGGATGTTCATCTCGACGGCCTTCTCCCACTGCATGCCGCGGCCCTCGGTGGTGACAAAGTGGGTGGTGTCGATGCGCACGCCGTCAACCATACGGGCGCCGACGCGGTCGACGGCCTTGGCGAGGTTCTCGCGCATGACGGCGGGCATGATGCCGGTGGTGATAGTGACGCCCGACAGGTCCGTCATCTTGTGGGTGCGCACCGTGACCTTTTCGCTCGCCAACGTGCCGGCCGTGGTGCGCAGGACCAGGTGGAAGGTGTACTCGGTGTCGACGGCGAGGCCCGAGATCTTTGTGCTGTGCATGTCGAGCGGGCGCGGGATGTTGCCGGCCTTCTGGCCGTTGCGATAGAGGGCGAGGCTGATCAGGTCGGCGGTCGCGAGCTGGACCGGGTCCCACTCGAGCACGACGCTCGTCTGGGTCGCGTTGCGGCATCGCAGGACGGGCTGGGCCGGCTCGCCGGCGCCGAAGGCGTTGTAGATCTGGTCCTGCAGGGCGCGGAAGAGCGACTCTGCCTTGACCTCGGACGCCGTGTTGCGCGACACCATGATGTCCACTATCGAGCCAGACTCGATGTCGGGCGGGAGGAGGATGGACGGGAACTCGATCTAGGCGGGGGAGCGTCGTGTGGTCTGGTCAGCGGGCGGTCTTGGCGTTGAATAGCGACCGGAACTCGACCATCCCACAGCCGTAGACAGTTATGGGAACTTCGGACTCACCAGGCGCTTGTCGGGCGTCAGGAGCACCGTGACACCGGCGTCGACCTTGCCGACCGTCAACGAGACCAACATGATGACGTTTGTGTTTGGCTAACTGGTGAGGCGTTTTCAGGGCGCAGAGGCTGGTTGGATGCGGCGACCAGTCGCTTGCAACGGTGGTTGGCGCAATTAGTGTTTGGTTTGAATGGGGGCCTCTACAGAGCTAGGTTTTGGGTCGTGGCGCGTGTCCTGGATCCAAAATCCATGCCGTCGCGAGCTACGCTTCGACTCTCGTTTTTGGTGGCGTTGTTGGATGCGCGATGCGCAAAGCAGGGGCGGGCATGGCAAGTGGCCACGGTGCGGGCCAAGCTGGAGCTGCCCTACGTAACGTCTGCTTCCAGGGTTAGGGTCTGTATCATTCTGTGATAAATCCAAGAACCTCGACGTGGACGATTGGGAAGGAGAAAAAATTCAAACAAGGTATGGCCATGGGACTGGCTGTTTTAATTATAACTTCAAGTCTCTCTGTATACCGTTACGACTCTGAGTGAAATCTGTTGTGCACCTGTCAACTGTAGGTTGACTTCAGCACGTGGGATGCCTTGCCTGCCACAGCATACCGCCTGGGTATCGAGACGAGAACATATGAAGGGGCTAGCCAAGACTTGGGATGGGAGCGATTCACCTACAGATTTTATTGACGTGTTCCCAGGCATGAGATTTTGTCATCTCAAATCGCCTGCTCATGCCCGTCGATTGAATACCATGATCTTTGCCCAGTCTGGGTCATCCGTATCCCGGAATGATGCGTTCCTCCCTTTTGGTTTTCTATCATGCGATGACCTACCAGAGTCGCTGTCTCTCGGCCCCTTGTTCCTAAACCCGTTGTCCCTAGATCCGCCATCTCTCAATCCAGTGTCTCTAGGTCCCCTGTCTCTAGATCTGCTGTCTCTAGATCCGCTGTCTCTAGGTCTGCTCTTTTGAGGGCTGCTTCTGCTCGGAAACTCGTCTCTGGTGCCCGACCTCGGGGCATAGTTATTTGGTCTCCCTGCGCTGGGCCGGTCGCGGTCATCCACCGCCTCGGGACGCATTCCGGCACGGCAGCCCAGGCGCCCCTTCAGCTTCTCGACCAGCCTAACAAAGTGCGCCACCATCTTGTCCATGGGAAAGTTCGCGATCTGCATCGCCACGCAGGTGAGCTTCACCATGCCGTAGAGCTCGTCGGGATCGTTGCGGTTGGCGTGGACGGGCTCGGGGACCGAGCGCGCGGCCGGCGACGAGGGCTTGGCCTTCCTGCCCTGCCTGTCGTAGCCGTGCAGCTCCAGGGCCTTCAGGAGCGCGACCCTGAGGCGGCGCTCCTGGGTCAGGCGCACGACGGCCCTGGTCTTGACGTCGGTCTCGTTGACGGCCTCGGGCATGATCCAGAGCGGGGTCGTGCGGCTCTTCTCGGCGAACACGTCCAGCAGCTTGTCCACCAGGACGTGCCCCGGCCATTCCATGTAGTGCATGGACCTGTATGGCACGCCGTGGTGCGGGGCGGCCCAGATTCTGAGGCCCGGCACGGGTTCCCATCGGTCCTGTGACGACGGCTGTACGTCGAATCTCTTGTAGTTGCAGGTGAATGCAAGCCCTCGGGCGATCGCCTTTTCCTTGGGATCTAGAGGCTTGGCAGTGGCTTCCATAATCGGGTTGAATCTCCCGGTGCCCCTATGGATCTGCCAGGTGCTCAAGGGAGCTGAGGACCGCTGTTGAAAGCAGAGAAAGGCCGGCGATGGCTGGAAGGCTTTGCGCCGCAGCCCTTGTGCGATCATAATAAGGGCGCGACTAGGATCCAACGAGAGGGATTGTCTGAAACAGCAGGGCTATCATCTCGCCCGATGATAGCTACGCTAGTTGTTTCTTGGTGGGTGCTGGTCTGATTCATCATCTTCGTCTCGACGAAAATGGCAGCCCGCCCTGAGAAATCAAGGGCAAACTCCCGCGATCATATGTGGGGCTCAAGAGGCGGCACGACATGCACGGGCCATGCCCCTGACAAACTGCTGTGATCCCTGATGGGGTCATCTCGGGCGGCATTTATACACCACAGCAGCAAAGAAACGAGCCGTCCCCATAGGGTTTCCGAAAGGCTTCCTGATTTAGGGTAGTCTGTCTCAGTGGTAGGTTTCCTGTGACTGGGACTTTTAGAAGTCGGCAGCGGGTTCGCGGGGGCCCAAACCAGTTGCAGAAGCTTTCCAACTGCTTGCAGCCAGTTGGGCCATGCTAATGCGTCAGAAGAGCCCGCCACCCTTCATCTTATATCGCAACCTCCAACCCGACCCAATTTTCGCCACCACATCCGGCACATTTCCTGATATACTATCGATGCCATACACCTCAGTACTGGCCGTACTCGTCATCCAGCTGCTCCTCTGTAGCGCAGTTCCCCTCATAGTCCTCATGGTCGTTTTCATACCCATGCTCCAGATCGTCCATTCCCGCGTCAAACTCGTCGTGCTCATTATAGTATCCGCCACGGCCACCAAACTGACCACCCCGCGGCGCTCCGCTATTGTCATTGTAACCGGAACTGCCATAATCCTCGCCGCCACCCGCCTCGCCGCCCTGCGGCTGCAGGCCCCAGTCCCCTGCCTCGTTGCCGAAGCCGCCGTCGTTTTGCCAGCTCGAGGCCTCTGTGGACGTGTCCCTCGCGCGGCCTGGACCGGCTAGGCCGGCTCCCCTCCGCTGCTGCTGCTGCTGTCGTAGGGGTAAATCTCTCCTCGGATTCTGTGGTGGTGTACCGCCGCCTCTCGGAGCCTCGCGCGCACCGGGCGTACGATACGGACGCAGGGGTTGCTGGTTCGCAGGCGCACATCGCCCGCCCGCTGCCGGTCCGGCGCCCCCAGCGGGCTGGTCCGGCGTGAAGCGCTGTTGGCGCTGACGTGGACGGAAGCCACCCGCCGCTTGTTGCTGTCGCTGCGAGGGTGGGTAAGCTGGCCGGGGCTGGGGAAGGAACCTGTCCGGGCGTTGCGCGGTGTGGTTATGGAGGTCGGCGCGCATGCCAGCGTCGCGGGCAGCATCGGTCGCCGTGCCAGCCAGGGTGTCATAGAGGTAGTTATCGAACTTCTCGATAACATTTGCGACCTCTTCGAACTGGGTGTAGTCCAGCTTCAGGGGCCGCTCTAGGGCCTGGTCGCCGGCGCCGGCGGGCATCGGATTGTCGCCGCCCACCGCGGCGGGCTGCGGCCTGCCCACCCGCAGCTGGGCCTGTGATATCACCCTCCCTTGCCCATCCATCGCGGGTCGATTTTCGGGCGAGTGGGCGAGCGAATATGCAATCTGGAAGGCATTACGGATCTGACGGCCGTTCCAACGCTCCCACTGCTCGTGTGCGCGCCAGTGCCACTCTGCATACTGGCGGAGATTGGCTTTGTCGATGATCATCTTGGGCCGCTTGGGAACTACGGACCCCTCTTCACTCATCAGTCTTTGCTTCTCCGCCTCGATCATCTCTAGCTGTCGGATGTTGACGTCAAAGATGGCCACCGTCTGCTGAATGGTCAGCGGGGGGTAGTACAGGCTGACGTGGATGCGGGACTTGAAGGCTTCATCGAGATGGCCGACCCGATTGGTAGTCAGGAACAGGATCCCAGAGTAATACTCGAGCACACGAAGGAACACTAAGAGTTAAGTCAGCCAGCTGCTTCTTACCTAGCCACCTGCCTCGTTCAGGTTCAGGTACTTACCAGAAACCAGTGCATTCCTTTTCAGGTCATAGACCTCTCGGCGAGACAGAAACACGTCGGCTTCGTCAAGCAAGAGCACACAGTCCCAGAGATGTGCCAAGCGGAAGATGTTTCGCAGAGACGCGTCGACTTTGCCAGCCTCGAATCCCAGGTCGCCGCAGGTGATTGCGAACAGCGGCTTCGAGTTGACCTGGGCGATGGCTTCGGCCGTCGCCGTCTTCCCGACGCCCGGGACGCCGTGGAGCAGCATGAAAAGCCCCGAACCCTTGCCGCGGATCAGATCCTGGTTGAGGTTGCCGGTGCCGTAGGCCTTCTGCATCGCCTGCTTCTCGAAGTGAGTCTTGACCAGAGACTCGATCATCTGCTTGTGCTTGGGATCGATCTTCAGGTCCTTGAACACATCTTGCTGCCTGGGGATCATCCGAAACATGTTGATGTCGGCCAGGATGAACTTGCGCTCGCGGAGGGCGAAAGCGACGGCGCGGCGCGGCAATAAGGCCAGGTCATCCCCATCGAGATCATTAGAATTCCCGGCTTTCCAGCAGCGCATGAACTTGCTTTCCTTCATGTGGCGGGCGACGAGGTATATCCCAAAAAACTCGCTCCGCTGCGTTTTTTCCATGAGAGTATACGGGCTTCCCTGGCGCTTGTCGTTGAGCCAGTGGCGAATCTCCATGGGGTCATCAACATCAAGCCACACGACATCTTTGAACCGCACAAGGCCTTCGAAGGCGGGCTGACCAAGAGATGGGTCTGCTTTGTAGCCCTCGAGAAAGTCAACGATGACGCTGCCATCGATATGCTCCGAGGTCAACTCGTTGCTGTCCTCGTCACGGCTTGTTGGCCCCCGAGTGAGCGTCCACCCGTCGTAGTAGAGATATTTCTCCGTCTTGATAAGCTGGAACTGCCTTCCCTGATCCATAAAATTCCTCATCAGTCTCGTGGAGTCCTTTGCGAAGCGAAGTGGGTAGATTGGAAATTCGGTGATATCCCTCTCGCCCTCGTAGTCCTGAATATTGAACCTGTCTCGGACTGGTTGGTACCTCGCGCCATCATAGTCGATGTAGTAGGCGTGGAGATATAGCCCTCGCCTCTTGTTAACTTTGTAGTCATCCGGCGGGCCATCTTCATACATATCCTGGTTGATGGAGTAGAGTCGCCAGACGCTCTGGTCCGTTTTCTTGACCGACTGTGATTTCTTGTCCCCAAGTTTGGGAGGGTCGACAGTGGGTGGGCGGTACAGCATCTCCCCCACAATGAAGGACATCCAAAGGTCGAGGAAGGCTGCCCTCTTCTTCTCGATCCCTTGAGCTGCTTCCCACTGCGGGAGTATGTGCTTGTCCACAAACTCGAGGTACTTCCTGACGTGCTGCAGCGCTGTAGCGGTATTTGCGATATCACCACTGACCACCTCGTCAAGGTCGGGTTCATCGAAGTCCTCCTCACCCAGATCGAGAAAGTCGCTTTCGCTGCCGTCTTCCTGGTCGGACGGCTGGGCGGCGTCCACCCCTGGAGCAGGTTTGGCGTCTGGGGTCGTCATTCCTGTCTGGGGCGCTCCGAATCTCTTCTCCATCATGGTGAGGATATCTTTCATATAGTTTCTGTAATAGTACATGGTACGGAATGGCCGGAGGAAGGTCCTCGGCCTGTCGGTATTCCAGCTGTCTCCGTGGCCCGTGAGGCGGGAGAGCATAAGGATGAGGGCCGGCGACTGGATCCTGATGCGTTGGACGTGCTCGGTCTCTTGGCCTCCCTCGTGGTCGGTCTTGAACCCCCGTCCCATCCGAGGCTCTGTTGACTTCCATCGCATGCCGCGATCACGGGTCTCTTTCCAGATCTCCTCTTCAATGTACGGATGGGCTCGCAGAGCCTCAATGATGTGCATGCCTTCGTCTGGGCCATGCCTGTTTTTAAAGTGTTCGAAGTCCATGAACTTCCAGTCGGCGACTAGATTGTTGCGCCGCTCCTCGTTCCATTCGATACCGGTGGTGTCGCTATCATTCACGCCATCGCTGGAGCTTTTGGCATGGCCTGTGCCCAGCGCACATGGCTGGTTGGCCTCGTTCTCTGCCCCAGCCGGCGCTTTCTCAGAGGGCATGTCGATAAAGGGCTTGAACAAAGGCTTGGCCGTACGGCTTTCTGGTGCTTCTCTCTGGGATAGGCGAAATACTGTGGGATGGCCGAGCTACACACAGCGGACGGGTTGGCGCTCTGGGGAGGGATGCTGACTCGAAGAAAGTGGCGGAGACATAGATCAAACTCTCGCTCACAACCGTCCTTAATTCTCACCCTCACTCAGCCAAGAGCCGCAGCAAGGAGGCAATGTCTGCCCGCCTGGTAGGGTAGGTACCCAGCTATGACCAGCCGCACTTGCCGCGTCGGGAATCCCGCCACCCTTTCCCATTCTTCCCCCTCAATGTGCGCGTGCGTTGCACTGAGACCGAATTTTGGTGTAGCAGATCAGGGCTTTATGATTGGAAGACGGATGCCCCCAAACTCGGCCAGTTGCCGCGCGGGGCACATGGTGCATCAAGGCTCCGTGGCCTGCCCCAAGGCAGTACTCATCTCCATGTCTGTATGAATGCCCGATCTGCGAGGCGCATGCAGGTGTGCGTCATTTTCATACTCGGGGCAGCCTATCAGGATTCCAGTGTGCGAGAGACCTGCAAGTGGCCGGGATTAATCACAAGAAACAGCTGTGCATGTCGGCTTATCCTCGTACCCATTCAGTCTTACATCTCCTGGCCTGCCTTCCTGGAGTTTTTGCGTTAGAATCACTGTCAATGTGCAGGTCTTTGAACGAAATTATACGTCCAGATACGGATGCGAAAAGCCCTACGAGCCCGAAACCAAATTAAGCCGCAAGCATGGCACCCAGCTACCTAGGTAGCTCCCATTAATACAGAAATCACCACCAGTATATGGCCGAAACTTCCAGCAATTCCTTGGGCCTGGATCGGGCTTGACTATGATGACTTCCAGAGCGAGTGGCGGCGACGTTGGAGGAAACGAAACCAAGACCATTGTTTCATTCATAGATCACGATGCTGCCACGGCCTACCCCGGTACGCTCGGCGGTTCCTCGACTTACAATCCCCACACAAACCGCTACGAGCCCAAGCCTCACATGTACGTGTAGAGATGCCCTGCCCCATGGCACATCTGTTTATCCATTTCAATCATAGGTCTAACCCAACAAACAGAGATTTGCTGCGAGACCTGAGCTGGTTGATTCCCGATACTTTCGAGTCCCATTCGTTCCAGCTAGAATGGCACGAGGCAGACGCAGCCAGATGGGAAAAGCTCGGCGAGGACATCATAGAGACGAGCCAGGGCTTTGAGGCAAGCAAAAATGGCTTCTGGCACAAGATCTGGTACGGGATGGGCGATGCCAAAGACGCCATTGACCCGTGGTTTGCCCTCATACCCAGCGATTATGGCCTGGCCATCGTGAAAGCAGGCGTTGCCGTGCTTTTCAAGGTAATCATTCCTACCACATCTACTTGAGCGGCGCATCTGGCACGTGGTGCCTACCTCGTACGTGCTTCACCTCCCTAATACAGCAGTCTCAATAGCTTGCAGAAAATTCCAAGAAGCGAAAGCAGACAATCATCAACACCTTTACCGAGCTGCGGGAAATCCTTAGCAAATCCGATCCAACCAAACATGGTTTCAGCGACGAGCCCGAGGTCAGGAGGCATGCCGACAACCTCTACCAAGCCGTTGTCAATTCCATCAGGGACATGCTCCAGGTGATGGCCAAAAAGAAACGGCGTACCGAAGGCAGTAAGTGAAGCCAACGTTGGCATCCTACAAGCCTTTGGTGAGATTCTTGGGGCTTACATTCACCAACCGCTCAAGTTCAGAGGAAAATGCAGAGTGTCTTCGGCAACGAGACAGCACCCCTACCGCCTTCTCCACCGAGCCCAGACGAAATACTCCAGAGCGTTACGAAACGCGCCCTGGAGTTCCAGCAGGCTGTCTCGCTGGCTCGTGATGCGGCCATCGTCAGAATCGGCCGCAATGTCGGCATTGTCGGCGTCGGTGTCGGCACGATTGATGCCAAGGTAGATGCAGTCGGTGCCGGCGTCGTGTCGGCGTGCAGGGCCACCAAGGCCGTAGCGGACAACGTCAAAGTAGTGAAAGGCCACCTCATCGAGGCCAATGCGGATTTGAAGCTCATCAGACAGAGCAATGAAGAGGCAAGGCAAGCGAGGGAAGAAGACAAGAACGCGTACGAAGCAGAACTGCGAGCGATAAAGAGCCAGGGCCAGGAAATCCTACTGGAGATGAAGCTCATGGCCAAGAGAGAGGGTCAGAGGCAAGCCAGCATAGCCGCTCGCGAGTCGGCGAGAATTCAGGTCGATGGAAAGAACAGCCTCTTGGGCATACTGGAAGACCGCGTGCGGGAGCGTATGTGCAACCCTCAAGACCCCAGGACGGCGCGCCGATTCGAATCTCGGCATACTGACACACACACAGAAGCGTGGCAGATTCGAGAGCTGCAAGCCCAGCTCGCGATGGGGGCGGCGGCGGCGACGGGAGCCCCGCCAGCGGCGCTCCTCGGCCCCGACCAGCTCTGGTCGATCCTGGCGGGTCGGCGTGACCGGGCCGAGTTCTCGGCGCAGGCCAACCAGGAGCTGGCGCGCGTGCTGCTCTACCGCGGCCGCCACCGGCCGCAGGACCAGGCCCAGGCGAATTCGGCCCTGCAACACCCAGGCTTCCGGGCCTGGCTGGCCGGGCCCGGCCCGGCCCTGTTGCTCGTCAACACCAGCCTGTCCGGCGCCGACCCCATCTCGGCCGCGTCCGTGTTCGCCGGCACGCTCGTCACGAGCCTGGTCTCGGCGCGCCCGGACGCCGTCGTCGTGCACTTCTTCTGCGGTCTCCACACCAGCCCGACCGACCTCGAGTTTGGCCCCGGCGGGCTGCTACGGTCCGTCGTGATGCAGCTGGTCCTGAAGCTGACGGAGCTCGACAAGCTGGACCTCGGCTTCCTCCAGACCCTTCAGGACGTGGACGAGCTGAGGTCTTCGGAGCCGCGAACGGCGTGCAACGCGCTGTGCCAAGCGCTCTGTGATCTGCTTACCCAGTTCCCGGTCGGCACCGAGGTGTACTGCATGCTGGATTCCATCTCCTTGTTCGATAGGGAGAGGATTCTCCCCCTTCTCGAAATTCTCGTCGAGTGTATCCAGGCGCTCGTTGAAGATTGCGGGCTTGCCACTGTCTTCAAGGTCTTTCTCACCAACGGCGGGCGGGGGTCCCCGGTCAGGGGGCTTCCCGCCTTCCAGGACGCGGGGAGACAGATAAGCCTGTCGTCGAGAAACTCGGCGCCGGTCTTTTTGTCCCCTACAGCAATGGGAAGGCAGATCTTACGGCCTTCAACTCCGACGCCTGAGACGGCTCCAAGGGGAATGTCTAGGCTGGGGAGCGGTGGCGGATACTACGAGGATGATTATGACCAGGGGTTCGAAACAGAATGATCGACTTGGGTAGCTAGCTAGGGACCTACCTACCTAGCTACCTCGGTAGACTCTCAATTCGTATGTTATCGATGGCAGCAGGCGCTGGGCAGTCACAACCATGAATGAGGCACGGGTGTGAATCTTGGGTTCGAGGGAGAGGGGCTTGGTGTCAATCCCGTGTGCCATGATGTCTTCCATCCAACCCCTTCTTCTTTTCTTAAGGATGTGCCCTGTCCAACAAGCTACAGCAGACAGCTATTTTAGTTTTCATAGAGTAACTTCATGGCTCGCCAGTCTTTTAGGCTGTGGTCGCTGTTTGTGCTCTCCCGGAATCTTATCTGCGCCGCCCAGTACTTGTTCCCCCGCTTTATAAAGGTACCCCGGTTGTACACTGCGGTCGGTACGCCGGTCCTTTTATCGAACTCGGCCATGATGCGGCAGCAGTACATCCGTAGACCCTTGAGCTATTCTAGAAGGAGTGGGTGGTCCGGATGGCAATGCATCTCTTCATATCATTTACCGTGATGTTCATGCCTTCCTGATCGAGATGCCACCAACACAGGAAGGCGCGAACAAATTGTGGGCCCAACATCTAGACATGGCCAATCAAACTACGACCAGCATTGACACCTTGACGTCCAGCATGCTTTCCAACCATGCAGCATCAAATCAACCCCGAGCATCCCATGAGATTCATCTGGGTGATGCAGAAGGACGCGACATCGATGGTTTGGTAGGCGATTGTTCCTCGTTACCCAAAAGCCATGGCGCCCGGCACACTCCTTCCTCGCCGCCTGCGGTCGCGGAGAATCCTGCGCGCGCTGCTGCTCCTTTTCGTGGTCTGGAACGCGGTCGAGGTGCATTACATTTGCCGCCGCCTGCAGCAGGCCGCGGTCCACCCGCTCCCGGGCTCGGCCATCGCCCAGCCCGGTGCCGGCTCCGGGGCCTCGGCCTCATCGCCCGATGCCGGCAGTGAGAGCACCAACACCAACAAAAATGAGGACGCAGTCAAGACGCGCCGCTGGCAGGCCGCCATTGACGACCTCCAGAAGTCGCTCCGCCTGCAGCGCCCTCCCCGCGTCTACATCGCGAGCCTGCACTGGAACAACGAGGCCATCCTGCGCAGCCACTGGAACGCCGCCGTGCTGGACCTCGCCCGCGCCCTCGGCCCCGAGAACGTCTTTGTCGCCATCCACGAGAGCGGCAGCTGGGACCGCTCCGCCGACGCCCTGCGGGAGCTCGACGCGGCCCTGGGGGACCTCGGCGTGGCCCGCGACATCGTCCTCGACCCGACCACCCACAAGGAAGAGGTCGAGAGGGAGGTACCGCCAGGGACGCCGGGCTGGATCCCCACGTCGCGCGGCCGCCACGAGCTGCGCCGCATCCCGTACCTCTCGCGCCTGCGCAACCGGTCCCTGGCGCCCCTGCGCGACATGGCCAACCCTGCCGCCGTCGCCGATGCCACGGGGAAGGGCACGGACGTCAAGGACGGCCCCCGGGCGCGCACTTTTGATCGCGTCCTCTTCCTCGGCGACGTCGTCTTCACCGTCGACGACGTCCTGGCCCTGCTCGCCACCAACGGCGGCAGCTACGGCGCCGCGTGCTCGCTCGACTTCCAGAAGCCCCCGTCATATTACGACACCTTTGCGCTCAGAGACGCCGACGGCCACGAGCACGCCACCCACACCTGGCCTTACTTCCGCTCCTTCACGTCGCGTCGCGCCATGAAGCTCAGCGTGCCCGTGCCCGTCAAAAGCTGCTGGAACGGTTTGGGTAAGTCCCTTTAGTTACCCACTTCTCTTCCTACCCAGCCAGCTCCGATACTGACACGCCAGGGACAGTTGCGATGCCCGCTCGCCCCTTCACAATCGCAGAGGACCCTCTTGCTTTCCGCGGCATCGACGACAGTCTGGCGCTGCACCACCTTGAAGGGTCCGAGTGCTGCCTCATACACGCCGACAACCAGCTCTCGTCCACCAAGGGCGTCTTCCTGAACCCCAACGTCCGCGTCGGCTACCACGGCGAGGCCTACGACGCGGTCCACCCTCCGCCCGGCAAGGCTTGGCTATCTCCCCTGCAAGTCCTGGTGGGCCTCTGGCGGAACCGACTCCGCCGCCTTACCACCACCCCGGCCATCAAAGAGTGGCGCGCCCGGAAGCTGGTCGAGCAGTGGAAGAAGGAGGGGGAGAAGGAGACGGGTAGCGACGACAGCAAGAAGCCCACTCAGCGGCCAGGGCAAAAGAAACGGGATGAAAAGGGCACGTTCTGCCTCATCAATGAGATGCAGGTGCTAGTGGAGAATGGATGGGCCCACGTATGAAGTTGACGGAGAGTCGAGGAAATAATCGAAGCCGACCTACACAGTCGGGAAAAGCAGCAGAGGGAGTGCCTCAACAGCAACTCCCCTGGCGTCAACGCCTATCACGCCAAACGAGCTACTTTTGGACAGCACCAGTCATCCGACGAGGGACGATTCGGCATTCTGCTCTGTGGGGAGTACAGAGCACCCACATAGAAGGGATCAGAATGGAGCCCAAATATTGGACTAGAACACAAGGTTATCGGCTACCTACGCACGGCTGGGGACAAAAGGTGGTGCATGCGGAACTCTATCAAAGGGTATCGCAAGTCAGCCCAGGCGTGCCCCCGAAGAGTATCGGTGTATAACTATGCAAATCGCGCTTGGATAGATTGAGTTACGAGGCTCGGATTTGAAAATGAATAGAGAAACTTGGAATCGGATCATCACGAATTAGCTGGTGGACTTATATTCAACTCGAATTCCCGCGACTCGGTCCACGTAGGTTGGCGATTCCCACCAGTGGCTTCTGGACCTGGCCACGGAAGCGTTGGCAAGTGAGAGACACATTCGACAGACAGCCACATAAATGGATATGCCATCCCTGGCCTCATTTCTCCACTCTCATTTTCCAGAGTCCTCCTGTGACCTCTCTTGTGCACCTCTCAATACTCTGATATCTCAATGCTCTAATATCAATTGGTCAAGAAAATTTGGCGGTTTGCAGAGAGCCGCAAGGCTTACGCCCGACCCCTTTTCCCGGCAGGTGTCCATTTCGCCTGAAGTTGCCACCCAGACGATCAAGGAGCAAGCTTTTGCTTACCAAGGCTGGGAGCATTGAAAAGTTATGACGTCGTCTTAAAATGGCATCTATAGCCAATTAATATGCAAAAGAGCCGAGAAGAAGGGAAAGGAGCGACGCGCGCGGCTGGGCATGGATGGCAAGGCCAAATAAAAACAACAGCCCTCATCCAATCACATCTACATAGTATCAGACAAGATGTTGTATTCCAGGGACCCAAAGCTCAATTGGATTGGTCTAGGAAGAGATTGCAAGGCTTTTACAGCCAGGTCAGACGGCCGCAGACAGAGGTAGCATACCCTGCATGGGTAATGCGAGGCGGGTAGGAATGAGGCCTCTGTGGTGGACACAAATTTAAAACCGCGGTGTTACGAGCAACAGCCCATTCTCTCGTTGCTCTTCACCGCGGTCCAGCCCTGTTTTGGTACACTTCCCGCCTGGTCTCTGGTGAACATCCTCCAATGGCCCCAACACCGAATGGGTAAGGTATCTTTACTTCCCTTTGCCACTTCTTCGTAAGAGTGGTAAACGAGCACGCGTCTAGAACCAACCGTGGGACAAACAACAACGCACTCCCGAACACGCCAGTTCATGCTGGCAAGCTCCGAAGACCCCTACTCTCGTTATTTTTCTTGAGCGTCCTCGCACAGCATGAAGGGGTAGAGTTTGCTAGCAAGGCGGCGTGACACCTCCAAGGACCCGGGCGAGGCCGCGCGTGGCATTGCATGTAAAAACACCCGATCCCGACGGGTCACGGCACCACTGCACCGGGAGAGGGAGAGGGAAAGGCAATTAGGGGTTAGGGGGTGGTCCCGAGGAGGCTACACAAGCGAGGGGTAAGGAAGGTAGGTGCCTGCCGGTTTGGTAAGCATGCTTCCACAACCGAACGAAGAAGTGGGATAGTGGCAGAAAGAGTGGGAGAGAACAAACCCTTCTGGGGGAATCACCACAGCCGCCGGTCCGTCAACGGACGTCGACACGACTTGCCATCTCCCGAACGCGCCGGGACGCATCTGGGCGCTCGGAACAAAAATGACACGGAACACCCGTACCTGTACGCCCGCCCGCGGTAACACGACCGCTCCTCGACATGTCACGGAGTTGCCGTATGCCGCTGCCACCACCGGCATCATGTAGCCTTCAGGGGCAGGCAAATGAGAGGTCCGAAGTCACGGAGAGCTTCCAGATCCAGTCCCCCCAGGACCAGCGGTAAGGCGCACCCCCCCTCGCGGCCCGCACGCGCTCGCGTCGCAGTCTCGAGCAGCCTGACGGGCGAACCCATTGGCCACCCATCCCCCCAGAACCGGCCTGCACTCACGACATTACATTGCCTTCTCTCTTCTGCAGCGTCGCATCTCGCCGCTCCGAGACAAGCCCCGCCATCAGCTTTTCCCCTCTCCCCCGATGTGGTGGTTGCCGTCCTGCATGCATCGTGTCCATATCAGACGGATGGATGGTATGGGAGGGACAGCAGCAGCATGCGAGGGATGAGGAAAGGAGGGCTACGGGCGAGGCTGTGGTCGTCCACTGGATAGGACGCGCCCATGTCCCCTGTGCGCCGGCGCCAAAACTAGAAAGTGGCCGCGGCGGCATGCGGCCGGGTGTGGCCATGGGTTGAGCGAGCTTCGTCGACCGCCACTGATAGCCCGTCTCGCCGATCGACAAGGCGCTCGCCTCGACCCGGCGTCTCACGATGCCTTCCAGGAGGGCAGCCACATGAGTGGCGGGCGGTGGCGGTGGCGAGTGTGTGTAATGTCCGCGTGGGACGTTGGAGGGTGGTGGCCGTGGTGGTGGCCGTCTGCATGTGGTATTGTCCAGTTGCAAAGCAAAGCAAAGCCAACCAACCGTCCATCGTTTTGCCACCGATACTAATCTCGGAGCTCGCTACGTTGGTGTGCCGGCGCAACCACTGCTGGGCATCTACCGGTTCAGATATTACCAAGGGGCCCCCTATATGTGAGCAATACGCCCTGGTGACTTTGGCCCAGAGCTGGTGCGGGGTTCGAGACGCAAAGGAGATTCTGCCGTAGGAAGAATCAGGAAGCCAAAAACGAAGCAGTCTCCGTGTCTGCATAGGTGCCTGGATATGCACGTATGTACAAGCCACACCACTCACCTCCTCGGACGAGCAGAATAAGCAAGCAGACTGACGGGGTGTGGCAAGGGAGGTTGGGCGGGTGGTATTCCTGATGCTACCCCAGAAATCCTTTCCACCACTCCGCCTCAGCTTTTCCAACGGTCTGAGCTGAGAGAAGCAAAGATGGTCGGCCAGCTAACAAAAGCCGCATCCCCCTATCCGAGTCCTTACTGGCCCGACCAGACTGGGCATGATTTGCCATAAGTGAGAGGTGACGTTGAAATTTAAAAAGCAACCACGCAAACGGCTGGAGGGTGGGGGTGGTCGCGTGCAATCAGATACATATGCACATGTAGACTGAGATGGAGGTTGAGGCGTAGGCAACAAGCAAAGAAAGGCCCGTTCCAAGGAAACGGGTACCACAGAACGGAACTTCTAGGTTCGGGCCAACCGAGGCCAGGAGCTGGGCGCTGTTTGCTGTGAAGGCTACCTGGCTGTTGCTCCCGCCTGTGTGTGCCAGCCCCCTCGAAAGTGTTCCCCCAACGTCACACAGATGGCCTTGGCTGTGACGCGGGTCGTAGGTACAGAGATAGGTGGGCGGGACATGACACCACGGCCCTCCGGAGTTACTGCAGCCCGCGTGGCCGCGGGTGGTTCAACTGTCCCGCCCATCTCCTCGCATATCTCTCTTTGATTTCGGGAAGAAACTAGTGCGTCCAGCTGTGTGCGGTACTACCAACAACCCAAGAACCCCACGGGTGGCTGCAGACGCAGTGGCAAAGGAGGATATATAAGGGCTGCTCACTCTGTTCCAAGTAAATGGGACATGGCACTCGCGATGATTAGGTAGGTATGTATCCCCTTCTTCTCGGAGCCAGAGGAGACAACTAGATGTCGAACAAGACGGAAAGGAAAGAGATTCGGCGGTCTCTCTACAAGGCGGATTTAAAGAAAGCATCAACTGCCGTTACCCTTACTGACCAGTACAGAGATGGTCCGGATCGTCAGGAACGGCCACCGAATGGGGCGTGGATTGGGGTTGCCTCGCCCCCTGAGAGCCATCCCTCAGCGTTGCAGCCGGAGAGTTTGCACCATCAGCGAGCCACTGAAATTGTATTTGCCGCGACATGCCAATTGACGGGGTTTTCTACTTTTACTGGTGCTTGGCGCTGCAGCCGCCTGGGCAGCTGCGGCTACACGTATTCTTAGGATGGCTGCCCATCCAGGCATCAGAAGCATCTAAGCGTTTGCGTTGCAACGGTCTGGACTCGACGGCGGTCGTGCCGTGTCGCCAGCCAACCCGCGCGCCTGGCCCTCCTCGTCCCATGTTTAATCTTCTGCCATGCGGGATGGACGGGGAGGGCTTGTTTGTTGAAGATGGGAGGCAACATTGGTCAGCAGCACATGGGACCCGGTCCATCCGAGCAGTTCGGCGCCCCAGAAGCACGAGACATCGAGGGCGAGCGGTGGGGGGTTTGCGTGATGTGATAGGGCGGTGCCCCATTCCCGTGTCATCGGCTGGGTTATCGAGGTCGGCGGATGGACATTGACGAATCTGGGTAGCCGCTGTGGGTTGCCAGCGACCCCTGAACGAAAGCTCGAGCCCACATCCAGAGGGGGCACGGGGGTGCCTAGCCTCGGGTGGGTTGCTCGCCAACGATGGCCCTCCAGATCCATGATACTGTGGCGCCTGTAGCTGGCCGTCATACTCTCCCCCCATGATATCGAGACAGACGGAGATTGGGGAGCGGGCACACACTCCCGCAGGATGACTTGGCGTGCGTTTTGGTGCGGTGGCATCATCATCTCCCTCTCCATCCATTCCAGACAAGCCAGGAGGGAGGCGGGCAGAGGAAGCGACCCCGTCTTTGCGGTTAAGCTTTTTTGAAAGACAAGACGTGGAACATTGGTCAAGCTCATGTCGAAGATGAAAATAAAAATGGCCCTGGCATTTGTTCGGCTAGGTGGTCTCCTGTTCTGTCGAACCTAGGTGTCGGGGACGTGAAGGGCGGGGACGAGCAGGCAGCAGCCCGTCTTCCCTGTGTCCAGCACCGAAGGCTCGGTTCCAGCCAAGGGGCTGTCGATCCACAGCGATAATCTGGCGGTAGGGCAGCAGCGTTGGGAGCGTGGGTGCTGTGACCGGTTTTGGGAGGGCCGGCTGGGTTTCCTGCATCAGATAGACTTTGCACCTGGCAGGATGGATACAATGTTGGCACAGCTGCCCGCGCCAGGTTACCTGTCAGGCAGGTGGTAACTGGGCCGTTGTGGCCGCCGCGCGCAAAAGTTTCATGTCGGTAGCGAAATGTTGGCTTTTCCTGCTTCCCTGCCTCGGGGAGTGGGAGCGTCCAATGTTTTGCTAGCACCAATCCGATGGCACTTGCACAGCCTCGATCGCTACCACCCAAGTACCTAGGTGGGTATGAAGTGCCAGGTAAAGCGCGGCCTTGGCGGTAATCGATTCACGGAGCGCAATCTTGGAATTCCCAATTCCTGCCACGCCCGGCTGTCCCGGCTGGTGGAGATGTGGGCTGGAGTGGGCTGGCAGGCAAGGATGCAAGATCACCAAATACGTCATCCGTCTGAACGCGTTCCAGCAGCTGGGAGGGATGCCAATGCAACCCGATTCGAACCGGTGTCAAGCCGTTGCCAAGTCCTGCCGTTTTGTTGTCCACTCTCCACCACTCCCATGTATTGTTGCTGCTGTTTTTTTTTCTCCCGCTGCTATGGACTCCTCCTCGGTCCATCGGACGCTCTCCATTTGATTGAGTGAAGGAGCGGTCGGACGGGCGGGATGGGATGTTTCCCGATCGCGGTGACATAATGAGAGCTGTGCACATTTAATGCTACCACAGTCTGGTGGTGCTCGGTTCCTACGGGCCAAATGTTAGTGCACCTGCTCAGCATGCAATCAAATATGCATGCATGCTGGCTTTTCATGCAAACTTTGGGAGCGTGGCTCCTGGATGACATCTCGACAGACATCTCGCCCAAATCGACCCGTGCAAACAAGACAGAAAGACAGGACGAGCATGTGTGGGCGCGTCTGAAGGTTCGATACTCGGGGATTCCCCGCGCAACACCACCTGTGAGGTGGTCCGCTGGAGCAAGGTGTGACATCAACAACCCATTCTGGGGCCCTCCAAGCTCTGCCCGCAATTTCCGCAACCAAGTTTTTTTTGTAATCCACCTAGAAGACCAGGCCCGACTCCGCCCGTTTCAAGGCTTCGCCCGCAGTCGTACCAGCGGGACAAGCCCATGCCGACGCCCCGACATTTCTTGTTCTTCCCACGCGCTGTTATCAACAATCAACGATGACAAGAGCGCCCAAGCTTGTGCTGTGGAATGCGAACAACAACAAGGCTACCGCTGACAAATCGGCTGATACCGGCGCAGTGCAGCGCGCTACTGCGTGTTATCCAGAGCACCACCATGGCCTTGCCCGGATTAGGGCCTGCTTAGCCACTCCTGAGTATCCAATATCTTTTTCTGCCATTACCGTCCAGCCTGCGTCCCTGCATGTGCACGAGGCGGCACGACCGAGATAGCAGATGCAAATCCCGAGATGCCGACTGCGTATTGGCCAGGAGCTATCTCGTCGCGGGGTTTATCATAATTAAATAAGGATAACTCATGTCCGCGCCTGCGTCGGGCTGCGGACATTGGGGTAGTGTCCGTCTCATCACACCGCGTTCTTGAGATTGACCCCAAAAAAGGTCAACAAAAAGGAAAAGCAAAGACGGGCAGAAAATCAGCCGCTCCCGCATTGACCAACAAAAGCCCTCGGACTCGATGGGGATGAACAAGGAGCGAGAGGTTCGAGGCCGCAGTCTTGGCACATTCTTTCTGTCCACTGGCGTGGGACGGCCGAGCATGGGGGTGATGTTGTTCGCTAGGAGGATCGACGAACGCGGACCACGTTTCCGCTCGCCGCGTGCGGGACAATGATGCGGACGAAAAAAAAGTCAGAGTTGCGAGTCGGAGAGATTTTGGAAGCTTTCCTTGGCGGCAGGCCCTGCCTCGGCCAATAATCATAAATGATCGAGCCCAACCTGTCTAGTTCCGGCAAAATTGAAGGAAGGGAAAGACCAAGAAACATGGCAGAAATGAAAGAAGAACACCCATGCCGGGGCGGGAGACAAGGCAAGCTGGAGGTCGCTCTCGGCAGAAACCCGCAAACTCCTTGTCCGCCTCGATATCGGGATGGGGAGCTGGCCCCTGTCAGGGGTGGATATCGATGACCAGGCACGCACCACGCACCCCCTCTCTTGCTCTGAGTTGGCGTGGCCGCGGGCGTGTGAGGGAAGAACGGTTGGCGTTTCTCTTTTTCTTTTTTTGCGCCTCCTCACCGAGATTGAGATTCGTCGACGGCCTAGCGGCATGCGCTTCGACGAGGGCTGACGACGTCTTCACCTCTTGCTGTGGGTCTCCATGTTTGTTGCTTCTTTCCTCGGTTTCTGTTCCCGCGCTGGCCGTGAGGCTGTTTGTCAGCTCCTTCTTTTATTTTCTCTCTTGGGGTGCTTTTTTGCCAATCTCGTATTCAC